TTTATATGACAAGTGTGACCTTGCTTTTGTATATATTTTATACCAGTACCTTGGTCACTCTGGTAAACTGAAGCCTAATAACTAGAATCGGAGTAATTGCTCAATATTCTTGAGGGATTTGTTATACTTTTTACCGTGTGACCTTGTTTTTTTTATAATTATAATTAGTAAGTAAGGTCACACTGAGTTTAATTGTTTTTTTTTCAATGGATCAATGAAATCTTAAGCCCAACATTGTTGGAAAAGTGCTAAAACATCAGCCTCAATCAAGGCATTTATGGCTGATGCAACAGTCAGAGGCATAAACTACAACTACGATTACAACTATGACTATACTACGAATGAATTTAAATTCCAAATTGAACTGAACTAGCTCACGCAACAACAAAAGCCTCTGGCGAACGAAAATAAGGAAATAATCAATTTAAAAAAATCAAAATCACACATTTACCCATTTCGAGAGCAAACAACAAAGCTATACTAAGCAGAAGCAGAAGCAGAATCAGAATCAGAATCAGCAAAAGCAGAAGCAACAATCAGTCAGTCAGTCAGTACGAGTCCGAGTCTGTAGACAGAGAGGCAGATAGCGATATTATCTATGGCTGGACTGCTCTCGCCGATCAGAATCCATATGCGATAAATAAATTGAATTTATCCGCAATTGGTGGATGACTAGGGGATGTGTGTGGGTGTGGGCATGGGATGTGGGTGTATTTTCTCTGTGTATATTTTGTATATTTTTTTTTTTATTTCACTTTAAGCAACAACAACAACAACAACAACAGAAGAACGATAAGCACAACACAGAGAGACCAGAGAGTCAGCAATCATTGCAGGCTTGTCCTAACTAAGCTCAATGTCTCCAGCAATATATATTCAGATCTGAGTGGTATTTGTGTGCTGATTGATTTGAATTGAATAATTGCAATTGTGCGGCCTGTATTTGTACATTATTATTATTATTATTTGTAGTATTTGTCCAGACGAAAAAACCCCCCCCTGGCTAAATTTTCCATAAATTTCTCACCCGTCGTCGTCTCATTATATTTTACTTTTCAGACTTTTTTTTTTTTTTAGATTTTAAGCAGCACTTTTTGTGAACAAACTTTTGCTTCGATTGGCATAACTCATACTAAATTCGAATAATCGCCAATAATTTTGTTGGGTGCCCCAACACCATCATCATCAGCGGCAAATAAACAAATTTAATCATAATGAGATTCAAATTAATAACAAAAATCTAAAATAATTGAAGCTCTTTGAAAGATTACGAAAGCAATAAACTGAGAGCAAGAGACGAAGTAGAGTGACACTGGGGGAATCAATCGAATATTTGTTTTTGTTTTCTTCATTGTTTAAACAGTTGATTTTAATTTTAGAAGCAAGCGGTTGGCATTAGATGGATTTTCCGCTTGATTTGCATTTAAAAATAACACTTTTAAGCGTGTATCTAAATATTTGAGATATACCATATAGCATATATATATAACCCTTTCATAATTTCTAGTTGCTGCCGGGTTTTGCCTCTGACGCAGGTCGGTCGGTCTGGTTTGGTCCAAATCCCCCAATTAAAAGTCGTAGCTATTATAATTTCGTGCTTTGGCACTCAAGTCACGCGATGATAAGCCTAAATCGAATAATTATGATTATATTTTCAAGAGGGAGAGAGAGCAGCAGCAGTCATGCGGGTGCTCAATAATCATAATCGGTTTTCTTATCATTGAAAAGGTTTCCAAAATTAAACTCAAATTATGTTTGCTGATATTTAAAATAATATATATATATATTTAAATTTCTATAAATTTTGATTTCAATTTGAAAAGTCTATTAACTTGAAGAATTTTATGGTTAACATTCCCATATCATGGCAACTTATCAATGAATTTTCCCCCAAAGGCTCATAAATATATGTGGCTGCTAATCAGATATATATATGCATATATAGTGTTAGGATAAACAACTAAATCTAGCCGCAAAACAAAGGTCATAAAAAAATTGATTTGGTTTTTGTGTGGTTTTTTGTTCGTTGTTTATTCACAAAAAAAAATGTGGGAAATGTGTCGATAAAGAAATTCTAAAAATATATATACACACCACCCTTACATATTATATATAAATATATATATTTTCCGGTGGATAAAATAAAAACCAAATCGAGTTAAATTTTTGTTACCAGTTATTTGTGGTTTGTTTTTGTTTGAGGCGTGATAAAAAAACTAAAAAAAAAATAAAATAATAATAATAACCATGGAACGTGTCGTTTTGTTTAAAAAGATCTGCCTAGTATTAGTAACAAAAGCAAAAATCGAAGCGGAAGCTGGGGCTGCTAATTTGTTGTTCATTTGTTTGCGCTGTCAAAAAGCGTTTAATTTTTTTGCTTTCTTTTCGATTATTTCTTTTCGTTTTTATTTTCATGTTGTTGTTGTTGTTATCTTTTTTTTTTTTTGTGCTGTTTTGCATTTTATTTTTGGAAACGCGACGGCCCAAAGCACTTTGTCTATAAAAATGCACTTCTGCGAAAAAATAAACACATGCCTCATAGCCTAAACAAACGCACACAAAACTGGCGGCTAGAGGAGCTGTTGCACTCTGGATTCTAACAACAAACAACTGTTGCAATTCCATTTAACATGATTTCTGGGCAAAAATATTCGAATCTACAGAGGAGCCTCGTTGGATAGGGAAATATTAACAGAAATATATATTTTCTAAGCACTTTTGCATGTTGGGCAAGGGCACACTGGTCTTAACTCCCATTAGATTTGGTCACACTGAGTGTTTGTATAAGTTGTTTTACAAAGTAATAATTAATATTTGTAATATTAATTTTAATATTACTCTAAGACACACTTGTCTCAAATTTCCTTAAGACTGGCCACACTGTATTTATCTTTATGACCCTCCTCCCGCCGCCTCAGCTCATATTCCTGTCGATCATCTTTGGCTGTTGCTATCCCAAGAGGACAACACAGAAAATATTGTCGCATATTTATGAACATGTGTAACAGATAAATCTGAATCTACACACGCACACACACACCCAGTGGCGGTGGCGGCGGGGCACAACACATAAGTGATTTAGTTGTCAGGCGAGTGCATTTATCACAGCTGTTTTTTTTTTTGAGGGGGGGGGATTGAGTTCCGAGGACCAGGCCAAGGCGCCAGTAATCAAACTAATGAGCTTGGTGGTGGTGGCAAAAATAGCATTTAATGGATTTCAAATAATCACAAAAGAAAAAACTCTGAAAAAACCCCCCTCTAACTACTCCACTGCCAGGGAGGCTGGTTAGGTGGTGAAGTGAAGTGATAAAACATTAAAGAAATGCGCTTCTTCTCCTTCTTGTCACACCTTGGGGGTTGCTAATGGAGGCAGCTCTTGCTGTTGCTGCTGCTGCACTTAATGGCAAATGATAATGATTGATGCTGAAATGCAAGGCAAAAATATGCTGCACCCACCCAGACCCCCCAAAAAACAAAATCTTCACAAAAAGCCACACGAAGCAAGTCGTAAAGCTGTAGCTTCTATATCTTCTTAAGGGTTGGTATCCCAGGGGGTTTTCTATGGCGATAAGCAATCATTCAATGCGGTTTGAAATACAAAAAAAAAAAGACAAGAAAGAAAGAAATCATTAAGACCCCATTAAGAGGGGGGTTTTATATTTATACTTTTTGCATTAGGCAGATTGCAAGTTGTATTTTAGGACCTTTTAAGACTGCCTTTAAATATAAATTTATAAAGAAATATATATAGAAATATATAAAACCCCCTAAAATATGTTATACCTTATATATAAACCCAATTACCCATCTATACCCCCCTAATATCTATATCTAATACCCAAAATGTTAGTTATTTTAGGCAAATTTGATCCCTTTCTCCACCCGCCCTTTATCCCCTGGTGCTGTGTAAACAAAGGCATTCAACAAATTTGTAGGCGTAAAAATTGTCTTGTCAATATTTTAATGATATCACTTTACACCACAGTCCCCCCCACCAAGACCGTTTGGTCCTTGTCCTTGTCCTTGTCTGTGGCGAAAAAGTTTCCCTTCAACTTTTTTTGTTCCCTTGTTGCTGTTTGGCTGTTGTCCCCAGGAAAAAGGCTGGAAATCCCAGGCTCTATGCTTTTTCCCCTATATATATATATATTTTCCTTTTTTTTTGTGGAATTTTTTCCCGCTATCCCTTTTGGCTGCTGTCTTGGGCGTGTAAAGAAGAAGTCAAAAGTCCCGCCGCTCATTTGTTTGCCTTGTTTCCCTTTTTTTTTCGTTGGTCTCGGTTTCTCGCTTGTACTCGGGCAACATTTTTTCTGTTTGGCTAGAAAATTACAAGAAAAGTGCCCGGAAAAGTGGGTGGTGTAAAACGAAGGGGGGTTTGTTTATTTGTGCAAGTGTTTTCTCAATTGTGCGTGTGCTGGCCAGAGGAGGGAGGTGGCCAAGTGGCGAGAATCTGCAGACGGAGGTCGGTCCTCGGTCAGTCGTGCGTCGCCGTCTGCGGTTGGAATTTTGCTCCTTCTTCTTGCCTGGACTTTTCCCCGAGTTTCCTCCCGCACACAAACACACACACACACACACTTGCAGCATTCCAGCGGCGACGTTTGTCTAATCTTAACGGTTTTACATTTCATTGCGCCGGGTAATTGTCCTTCGTAGGGTTGGGGCGGCTTCGGTTGCGATCCCCCTTTTTCCAAAGGATATTCGACCTTAGTCCGCTACAGTTTATTAAATTAAAAAGTCACTTAAAGTCGGGGTAGAACTTTTTTTTTTTTGCGACTCCTTTTTTGTACATTTTTGTGGTGTTTGAAGTTGGAAAAAGGGTTTGTGAGTTGCTTAATGTGAGGATTAAAGAGTGAGCTATGGGATTGGCATATAGCAGATGTTGTTGAAACCTCCCATTGGTGAAAGCTTATTTTTTCAACAACAATTTCAAAAAATAAACTAATATATATATTATGCCTAGTAATTTACACTTAACTTTACCCTTAACCGTTGGTTAAACTTACCTCTTTATCTTTGGCAGCTAATAGTACAGCTGGCTGGCCGTTGTTGTTGTTATTGTTCTTCTTCTTGCGCTTCTCGCTGTTGCCACTGCTGCTGTTGTTGTTGTTGGTGTTATTTGTATTGTTGTTATTGGTATTACTGTTGTTGTTATTATTATTATTGGTATTGGTGTTGCTGGTGGCTGTGTTGCTGGTTGTTGTTGTTGTTGTTGTATTGTTATTACTGTTGTTATTGCTGGTGGTGGTGGTATTGGTATTGTTGTTATTGGCGCAATCATCATCCTCGGCACTATTGGCAGCCACAACAGCAGCTTGTTGCTCATTGTTGGTGTTACTTTCATTGCTGTTGTTGTTGTTGGTGTTCTTTCGACTACAACTATTATTGCTATTATCGGTTGTTGTTGTTACATTTAAACTAGCCTCCCCCTTGTTGTTGTCCTCTAAAAGTTCCAACGCCTGCGTTGTCGCACTTGGCTCAGTTCTGGTCTCGGTCTCCATATCGTCTGGGTTCGATTGCATCGAGGCATTCTCCTCCTCCTCATCCTCATCCTCGTCATCATCGCCAGCCTCATCCTGCTCTGGCTGCTGATGCTGCTGCCCTTGCTCCTGCTCTGGCTCATCCTCCTCCTCCTCCTCATCATCCTCGTCCTCATCCTCGTCCAGCTGCAAATCCTGGTGACTGTTGTTGCTGCTGGCCATGGCCTCATTGGTTATCGACTGCTCGGCGGGCATATTGGCTGCCGCTGTTGCTGTTGTTGCTGCTGCTGCTGCTGCCGCTACTGCAACATCGGTGGCCGGTGAGTGGAGTGGAGATTGCTGTTGTTGCTGCTGCTGCAAGGCCGCCGCTGCTGCCGCTGCAGCCGCCTCCATCATCATCTGCTGGGCGTGGCTGAAGAAGAGCTTCGGATTGAGGCAGGCGCCGCTGACGACGCCGCCGCTCTGCTGCAACTGCAACTGTTGCTGCTGCTGCTGCAGCTCGGTGCTGAGCAGCGGCGGCGAGGGCGACGGCGTATTTGTATTTGCGAGCAGATTGCTGCCGTTCTGCTGCTGCAGCGTTAGAGCCGCTGCAACGATAGAGTTATTCAGCTGCTGCTGCTCCTCCTCGTTATCTGTGATTGCTCCTGCTGCTGTAACTGCTGCCGCTGCTGCTGTTGCTGCTGCTGCACCTGTGTCGCTGTTATCGCTGTTGTCGCTGTTGCCGGTGGATAGCTGCTCTTTGAGTGTGTTTACTTCCTTCTCGGCCTGGGTAGCGCGCTGCAAAATAAAAATCAAGAATAAAGTAAGGGTTAATTTTAATTTTTAATTATTTACTTAAATTTGGTTTTAAATTTTTTAAAGTTTATTAAAAATGCTTAATTGATAAATAATTTGGCACAAAAATTGGCTTTTTAGCTTTTGTTTTGTGGGTTTTATATTGATTTATAGGAATTAGAGCATTATGAAACCTTATGCTAAAGAGAGCAGAGTCACACTTGATATATTAAAATAATTTTTTACTAATTATTTCTTTAAATTGAATTAAATTTCTTACAATTTAATTTTTGTTTATATTTAATTTAAGCTATGTTTAAAATTCATAAAAAATTGAATATAGTGTCATATTGCCATAAAAATCTCTTATAAATCAAAGAAAATAACAATAAAATTCAAACAAATATTAAAATTCTAATTTATCATTTTTTTCTTTTATTTAAAACTGATTTTTAAAATATATAGAAATATATTTGAGTAGCTCCCATCCCTCATCCCTCTAAAAAATTCGTCTAACGTCCGCCACATATGTTGCAAAAAGTTTGGGCACCAAAGCCAACTATCGACCCTCATTAATTTTACTTTTAAAGTCATTACGGGTTAAATTTAGCCAAATTAATACGTTGCAAAAACTTTTGTCGGCCGGCAACGACAACAACAGCAGCAACCGTTTGGTTGGAAGGCTTAAAAAACATTCCAGAGTCCTGGGAGTAACGGAGTTCGGAAGGGAAAGGACTCCCCCCCGCCGTCTGCATTAGCAACCAGGAAAAGCAGGCGAACAAATTTATAGTTTATCGTTCGTATCGATAAGCCTTGACTTGAAAATGTTTGCCTGCTATTAGTGCTGACCTTCGAAGGGGGCGGTGGCAGCTTTGGGTGGTTTGGTTTGGCTACACTTTTTTGGGGGTCCCCGGGAATCAAATGCCAAATGAGAAATTAAAACAACAAAACACAGGCTAGTCAGGAAGAAGGTTACAAAAATATGCGGTGCAAACTTTTTTGGCAAATTAGTCTGGGATTCCAGACCAGCGAGAGCCCAATCCCAGTGCCCATTCCCAGTGCCAAGTTTTAAGGCTTCCTCCTAAGCCCAAGCCCGAAATGGCAATGACTTTTGCCTGGTCCTCGTCCTGGTCCTGGGCTCCTTTTCGATTCGATTTTCTGTTGATTTGTACTTGTTCGGTTTGCCTTGGCTTTGGGGTTTGAGTATTTTCTGTGCTATTTTATTTGTATAAATACCGGAAGCTAGGCAAAAAAGGACTCCCGAGGAGGATCCTTCTTCCAGGGGGGCGTTGCAGGCAATAAAGAACTTTGGAAATTAGTCGATGGGCTCTGCAAAAACTATTAGGTGGTTTGGTTTGGGGTGGCTTAAGGCTTTTGCCAAAAGTATCGGTAGTGAAACCTTACCCTTTCTCCTCACTCTGAAAAAACTTGAGCAGGAAGTCGTTACAGAGTATATATTTTTGGGTTTGGGTAAAGTAGTGGCACTTTTCCGATAGATATTAAAGCCAGAGATCTATAAAAACAACAACTTCTCTTAATGACAAATACATACAGGGATATATATGTACATATATCCCTGAAAGCAAATCATTTTTCTTGGCCCCGCCAGGCATATTTGTCAACATCGTCGTTCTCATTCTCATAGATATATATTTATGATATTTAAAAGCTCTTAAGTACAAACAACAGACAGGCAAAGCGGGAGGCTGCTGCTGCAATATCCACGAGTCCTGCCACGAGTCCTTTTCCAGACAGACAGACAGTCAGACAGACAGACAGAGACTGTGGCAATGGGTGGCTTTCAGTGGTTGCTCTGCCTCTCTGTCTCTGTTTTAAGACCTCGTCGTCGCCGCTGCCGTGAGCTGCTTAAGCTTGAAAATTGTTTTCATAATGGCCAAGAGAAAGAGAGACAGAGAGAGGGAGAGGAAGGACCAGAAAGGATACTTTTCAGTTTCAGTTTTGATTCCCGTCGCCAGAGGTATTTTCCATTTCTTTCGCTGACTTTTTGCTGGGCCGAAAATCGATCAGTGGCAGGCAGCAGCAGCAGCAATCCCCGTGGGAAGCCAAGCACTTGTTGGCTCTGCTTCGAAAATAGTTTTCTTGGCCAGGTTTTTCCCACTCTGTTTAGTTTTTTTTTTTTCTCTCTCCTCTGAAATCAATTAATACAAGAAGCGGGGTCTGGCTTGGGCCAAAAACCAAATGAGTTAATTAACTAAAATGCGGGTGGCTTTGCCGGGCATTTTTTTTTTTTTTTTTTTTTTTGCTTTTCAGAAAGTTGGAGGGTTTTCTTTTTTTTTGTAATTTTTATTTTGGGTTTTGTGCCCACTTCAATGGTCCCCCCCAGTCCGTGTGTGTGGTCAGCTTATGGCTGGCAAGGCTTTCGTATCGAGCACCCTTTTAGCGTGCTCCCCTCCCCGCCCTTCTCTGGCTCCCCTTTTATTTTTGGGTTTCATTTAATATTTTTGCCCCGGTTGCCACTTCAAAGGGGCTTTGGAAAAAAAAAAAAAAAAAAAATCCAAAAAATACATGAAGAATTGTATAAAAACCTACGGGTTAAAATCTCTCGCGCGCGAACCTAAAATGTTAAGTGAAATGTTAAAATTCCATCCTAACTAAAAAGAATTGACCATTAGAGGGGGAGAGAGAGGTAGAAGTTTGGGTGTTTCAATGGGTATATTTTTATTTAAGAGTTTTTGGAATATTTTATAATAATTTATAATATTTTATAATAATTTATAATAATTTATAATATTTTATACACTTTCTCAAAGAACTTTTAAGACTCTCCTATAGTTTATCCCTATAATAAACTCTTTGACGTTGGCTTTTGCTTGTACATTGCAGGCTAAGCTTGGCAGAGAGAGTAAGAGAGAAGCGAAAGCCTAAACAAAGGGTTATTTTGATATATTTAATTAATATTTTAACTTTAAATGATCTTGAAACTCCTATGAAATATTTATAGATTAAGTAACCAAAATATATTCAAAAATTATATTTAGTACTATTTATATATTCAAGAATTTTATAATTATTAATTTTTAATATGGCCTTGTCCTGTACTTTTTCCACCTCATTGGCAATTGTATCAATGAAAGTCCCTTACCTACCCACTCCTTAATTTCTGAGCTTTGCTGTTCCTGTTTATATATATATATATATATATATATATATATATTATATATATTTTCCCCCTTTTTAATTTTCTCATCGTGTTTGTTCACAATTGTCGTGTGCTTGGCACATGTCAACTCACTCGTCTTCGTTGTGCTCCCCCCTTTCGGCACCACCGCCGCCCATGTGTGTTGTTTGCCCCTCCTGAGGTTGCAGCGTGCGCGGCGGCATTGTCTCAAGCTGTTTGTCTGAAGTGAGTTTTTGGTTTTTGGGCTTAGCTCACAGAGAAACAGAGTGAGAGAGAGAGCTCGCTCAAGATTCGCAGCAGCTGTTGTTCTTCTCGTCCTGGTGGTCCTCAGGACCTTATTTGGGGGCGAGCAAGCACTTTTTGTAATTAGTACGAAGGCAATGTTATGAATTGTGCTTCAACTTAAGCTCGAGTGGCCGGGCTTCTTGTGATTTAACGAAAGGGGATATACTTATATATATACATGTACCATGATGTATCAACCCCCTTGGGTTTGGAAAGGGTTAACGCGGCGGTGTATTGTGCGGTTTCTGTTTTTTATGCTTTTCTTCTTTTTTTTTTTTTTTGACAATAAATCAAAGCAAATCAATGACACAATGTGGGTTAAGGTGGCACACGCCGCTACTCCAGCAGTATCCTTCAGCTGTATCCCTTTGAACCCCCTTTGTCGCCAATTTTATGCTGCTTTTCCCCTCTTTTTTTCTTCCCTTTTCCTTTTCTAGTTCTGGAAGTCAAAGGACTTGCCAGGACTGCCACTTGAAGGCATAAATATCTACATATATAGACATGAAACCAGCGACAAAGACAATTATACACACATTAGGCACATCCAGGGAAGAGTTGAAGAATTAAGGATATTTATGTATATATGCTAGAAGGGGGTTAAGTTATGGTAGCCTTTCTTCCTTCTCCCCCAGAAATTCCTCTTTTTTATTTTAAGCATCCAAAAACTGTTGCCCATTAATTGAGGCTAAAGGATAACTCCTTTCTCCTTTCCGAATAAAAATATATATACCAAAGGATTTGAGATCCAAGAGGAGGAGAAGGAGCAGGAGATTCTGGGCTCCCCATTATTCTTCAGTTCGGATTCGGGGCATGCCTTTGCATTTGCTTTACAATTTCAAACATCATTAGCAACGCACACAGTACACAAAGCCCCCCCGTCTCACACACACACACACACACACACATGTATATCCCTTTTTGCTAATTATTTATTTAAATATTAAACAAAAAATACCCGAAATACACACACACATAAACAAAGCAAGGAAACACACACAAAACTGCAACAAAAAAAAGGAAAAAAAAAAACAGTGAAAAGAGTGGCATAAAATCAACACACACACACACACAGAGGAAAGTATCCCCCCCCCCCCCACACACACACACACTCATAAGCACAAGAGCCAGAGAAAAGACGAAAATGATGTATTGATGCTGCCTGGCAGGAGAAAGAGAGTAGAATGAGAGAAAGAAGGGGTAAGAGCAGAGGCGGCCATGTGGGGGATCCTGCACACACATACACCCACCCACACACACACACACACACAAGACAAGAAAAAGAAAAGGAAGAAGGAGAGCGAGAGGCAAATATGCAAATACATAACTGTACATTCGTGGAGATAACACGGCTGGCCTTCCCTCTGCCTTTCCCCTTGGAACTAACTAATATTTTCTAATTTAAAATTCTGTTTCTTTTTTATTGCCTCCCCCCCCCCACACACACACACACACACACACACACAGACACTTACACGCAGACATGTGTATGTAAATTTATAAAATTTTCTATTTACTTATCAAAAATCAGAGGCGCAAAAAAAGAAGGGGGTTTGAGAAGGGGTTGTGTAGGTTGTATTTC